GGAAGGGCTCCTTCTTCTCACACCTGATGGGAGACAAAAAAGGTGACATCATCACCTTCCCAATCCAAGCCAGAATTCCGTTATGAAGGAAAAGGAGTGGGTGAATATATGCTGCCTGTGGTCCTCAGGCTGCATATGGATTGTAAGGGCATCTCAAGTTTAGTAATAGGAAGGAAGGAGAGTATATGAGGGTTTTTTTGTTCCTAAGAAGTAGTGAATTTGTGTTGTTTATACACCTTGGGGGATTTTTCAAGGGACCTAACACCCTGTATCGTCTGTTGCCCCATCCTGAATTGAAGAAATTTCAAACCAAAAGTTTTCATCTAGTCACTTTTTGGTTCCATTTTTTCAATGGTGAAAACAGCTTTTGAAAACTCTGATACAGCCTCTGGTAGCAACTGTGGCACACCGACAACTCCTGCTCTCAAAGGTTTTCACATTGCACAGAAAAGTTCAGGTTCACATAATCAGCATTACATTTTATCATACATCCATCCTGCAGCCCATACGATGCCTATGCCTACTCCAAGCGCTAAAGCAAATGAGCAGATCCACCTACCTTTGCAAGAGGTTTCTGACATCCTAGAGGGGAATAAGGGAGAAAGAAGAGAGTGGTCAGGGCCTCTGTTATGTCAGTGTGTGGGGAGGCACACACAGGCTCCCCCCTTATTCCACTCTAAGCCCACCCCATTCACCAGGAGAGACCCATAATCTCCTAAGAAGAAGGGTTAAAAATCTCCTGCATCCGTCCAATCTGTTCCAAGGGGAAGGAGTTGAGGGAGGGGTGTTTCAAGGGTCAGGGTTAAGGTGGGAACTAGGTGTTTCTGTGCCTCTGAGTCTCTTTTAGGGCAGAATATTCTCAGAAGGTAGCATCACCATTTAAAGTGCTGTGCGGGGAGGCGGATGGGTATCTTTCTGTGTGTTCCCTCTGTGAGAAGGGTTCCAGCTCTGAAGGAGTGGAATGGAAAAGCTCTGCTGGAGAAGACCCAGCTATTCCAGTGCCTGTTTTCAAGAGGGGCCAACCAGCTCTTTCTGGAAGGCT